AACATACAGTAGGGCTCTGTGAGTTTTCGTGGGGCTTCTTCTTCCACAGGAGCTCGAGCAAGAAGAGCTCTCTCCAGGCGGTCTTTCCGTGTCGCAGCACCGACCAAGTGGGGTGCCAGAGAACGAACCGCCAGGACGTGATTTGCAAGATGAGGAGCTTGACGAAAACCCTTATGGAGTCTCTGGTCGCGGCGCGCACCTGGAAGAAACCCTAAACCGTAAACCCTAAACCCTAAACCCTAAATTGCAGAGTCGTCTTGCGCGACCTGGAGTGACCTCCTAGGGCATTTCGAGTGCCCTTTAGGGTTTAGGGTTTAGGGTTTAGGGTTTAGGGTTTAGGGTTTAGGGTTTAGGATTTAGGGTTTAGGGTTTAGGGTTTAGGGTTTAGGGTTTAGGGTTTAGGGTTTAGGGCCCGAAGCGGCGCTGGAGCTTAGGGAGTTTGATCTTTCCGGGGCTGAGGGTTCCTTTCGGTGGCTTTAGGGTACAGGTTACCGGATTTAGGGCTACGGAGCTATCCTCAAAACCCCCCCGAGTCGAGCAGCGGGTTCCTCCATAGACCCCTAGAGTGCTCAACTCGAAGCCCGTAACCCGAAACGGTCCTTCTTCTAAGGCTCTTCGGAACCTTACTTATCCCTTAATTACCTGAGGTACGCCTGAGAACTCGCTTCCTGAAGTTGAAATCGGGGTTAGGGTGACTAAGTCAGTTAAATCCTATGAGCCCTAAGCCCCATCTCCTACACCCTAAACGCCAGAAACCCTAAACTCCGATTCATAAACCCTTGCTCCTCTACCTGACACCCTAAGCCCGTCAACTCCACGTTCTAAACCTTAGACCCCACTTCCCAAACCCAAAACCCTAGGTGAACCGAGGTTCGGAAGTGTTATCCCGCCTCAGCCTTAAGAACGACTTTGGGATTTAGGGTTTAGGGTTTAGGGTTTGGGGCGTACATAGATAGGGTGCAGGGTTTGAATCTTTAGCCCCTAAACCCTAAACCCTAAACCCTAAACCTAATACCCTATACCCCCTAAACCCTAAACCCTAAGCCCTAAAGCCACCAGACAAAGCGACAGAAACATTCCCGAGAGGCACACCAGTGAGCGGTTCACGCCTGGCCCAGGATCTGACTCCCCCAGCCCTGTAAACCCTAAGCCCCTAAGCCATATAACAGAGTTTTTTGGGGACCCGAAACCCTAAACCCTAAACCATAAACCCTAAACCCTAAACCCTAAACCCTAAACCCTACACCCTAAACCCTACACCCTACACCCTACACCCTACACCCTAAACCCTAAACCCTAAACCCTAAACCCTAAACCCTAAACCCTAAGGTTCAGCAGAGTATCGGGGTTTAAGGTTTTAGGCATTTGGGTGAAAGCTTGCAGTCAATCGCTTGAGGGCAACAGGCTCTCGACGGATTAGAAGAATGCTGCCTGATTCAGACGAAAAATTGGCAGCAGGCCGTTCTCTGAGGTTACTTAGGGTTTTAGGGTTTGCGGTTTTAGGGTTTGGGGTTTGTTTTTTTTGTTCATTCATGTTCTTTTTTCCTGGGGGGGGGGGTTAGTGACGTGCGCAGGGTTTTAGGAGCTGCGGAAGAGATTGGAGGTTTCGGGATGAGAGATCTCCCGCAACCCTAAACCGCCTCCCATTTGTGTGGATGGAAGCTATAGCCAGGAGGATGGCACCAATTACTAGCGCCTCAATCCCTGAAGTCCTGTGAGGCAGGTTCCCGAAATAATGGACCTTTTAGTTTTTGTCAGTATGTACCTACGTAAGACAGGCCAACATATTCACCCAGGTTAGGTTCTCAGCCCCTGCCGCCCGTCCGCCCCTGCGCCCCAAACCCCCCAAGGCAGCCAGGGTTTGCTGTTTAGGGTTTAGGGTTGGGATGTTTCCCCTGATACTAACAGTCCTTAACCGGGATTCTAGTATGCCCTTTTACCGGACTGTTCGTTCGTACAAGGGGAGCATCCCGAGGTTCAGAATTTAGTGTTTCTCTCATCTGCTTAAGAACTCCAAAAGAATAGAAACTGATAATCCCTATTATTCCCCTTAACAAGGATCATGTTTTTCCTTTTTTTTAAATACATTTTTTGGGGAGGGGCTCTTAAACAACTGGTAGGTTTAGGGTTTAGGGTCACTCTCCCGCGTTGGCCCTGCTGCTTCGGCTCTCTGAAGCGCTTTGTGGCTCCCGAAGGGCCCGAGAAGAAGTCATCCCAAACCTCGCTGTTAGCCCTGCCCTTGGCATCGGTCTTCGGGTTCAGGGTTCAGGGTTTAGGGCGTTTAGGGTTTGGGGTTTAGGGTTTAGGGTTTAGGCAACTCCCCTCCCCCCCCCCCCCCCCCCCCCCTGCAGACACTGCCAACCCAAAAGCTGTGCTTTTTGGGGGCCTGATTGTTGGGTTGGGGTTGGGATGTTCCCCCCTTCTACTAAGAGTCCTCAATAGAGATTATCATACAGAGATACTAGAATCGAACAGTCCTTGATAGGGATTATAATAGGGGGGGGGGGGGGTACTAGAATCTGACAGACCTTATTCTAGTACCCCCTCCATCATCCCTATTAAGGTTTAGCGTTTAGGGTTTGGGGTTTAGGGTTTAGGGTTTAGGGGTTAGGGTTAGGATTTAGGGTTTAGGGTTTAGGGTTTAGGGTTTAGGGTTTAGGGTTTAGGATAACGGGGAGCATCCCAAGGTTCGGGGTTCGTTGGGGGTCGCTGAGGCAGGGGAATCTTTGGCTCTGGCTTACTCCTGAGTGCAACATTCCCTGCATGTTTAGGGTTTAGGGTTTAGGGTTTAGGGTTTGGAGCCCTACACCTAAGAGCCCCGAAAGCCCTCAAAGCTGACTTTTCGCGGTAACCTTGATGCACAAGACAGCCGATGGCTTAGGGTTTAGGGTTTAGGGTTTAGGGTTTAGGGTTTAGGGTTTAGGGTTTAGGGTTTAGGGTTTAGGGTTTAGGGTTCAGGGTTTAGGGTTTAGGGTTTAGGGTTTAGGGTTTAGGGTTTAGGGTTTAGGGTTTAGGGCCCTCAAGGGCATGACCCCGCATTTGCATGTTTTTCGTGGGTCCTGGCCCGACGAACTCTCAACCCTCGATGCACCCTTTCATTTTGGGTTGTGTTTGTTCCTGGACCCGAAACTCCTAAACCCAAGGCCCTAAACCCCAAACCCCTACACCCTGAACCCCTAAACCCTATCGGAGGCTTGGACAGGGTTGGGGTAGTCCAGTTTAAGGTTTATGGTTTAGGGTTTACACGATAAACCCTTGCTTAAAACCTTACAGAGTTACAGAGAGAAGGATGGTGTGAAGAGCTGACAGTACAATGCAGCATCGTGTCCCCAGATCCCGCAGTTCCATGACCGGGAAGCATCTTTTCTAGACTGTCCACCCTAAACCCTAAACCCTAAACCCCAAACCCCAAACTCCAAACCCCAAACCCTAAACCCTAAACCCGAATGAAGGTGTGCTGATGCCGCCGCCACGGGGACAGCGACCGCGGAAGGCTCCGCAGGCAATGGCGTTTGTTTCGGAACTACTTCTACTATTTGCTGAAGAGCTCCCCCCCCCCTTCCCCCCAAAAAAAAATTTGGAAATATGATTCCTTATAAGGGCAATATAGGCTTCACAACTATTATTATTATTACTATGACGATGATGATGATGATGATGATGATTGTTATTATTATTATTATTATTATTTTTATGTGTTTGTTTTTGTTTTGGGGGGGTTCTTAAGCAAATAGTAGACTTGAAGGTTCATGGGTACTTAAAATAAAAAATAAGGGTTTAGGGTTTAAGGCTTCGGGTTGGAGGGGCCCCCACCCTAATTAGAAGTAGAGTTATAAGAACCCTTAAAATGGGTTCAAAGGATCCTAAGGAAGGTTATAAGTCCCTCAGAGCTGTAGTTTGTATAGTAATGGGGGGGGGGGGGGGCCCTCCTTGTGACATTGAGTTGCCGCAGAAGGAAGCCACATCAGCTAGCTTAGCATAAGCTCTTGAGAGCAACCCATATGGTTCGAAAGGTGTTGAGTTGTGATGTGGCCGTTTCCCAATAGAGGGTACCCCTTCTACCATACCCCAAATAGAATAGAATCTCTCTAAAGGGACCAAAAAAAGGGCACCCCCCCCCCCCCCCCATTTTTAGAAAACCCCTACGTGGGATTCGGTTGCAAGCAAAGTACTCCCGAAGCCTGCTCTCCCAACCCTCCCACCCCCCCGGTCCCGCTGCAAGAGCTCCGTGTGACTAATGTAGGGGTCGGAATGATTACTAATAGAATTCCCTTCAGGGTCCCTTTAGATATATATATATATACACATATGCATATACTCTACAAACCCCCCAGAACCTTATTCGAATATATTCAGGCCTCTATAGTATCCGCATCCACCTCGCACGTGCCTGGGGCTGCGCAGCGCTGTCATGAGCACCAGCTGCCAGGTTACCTCCGACTGCTCAGCTGCTATAGGGGTCGGAACAATAATCATATTCCTATACGGCCCTGTTTATGTATAAGTGTAGCTATAATCATCCCCAAATTACTAGCAATATTCCCGTACGGCCCCTGTGATAAATGTGCTAGAATCCCCCCCCCCCCCCCAAATCCCTGATCTACTTATTAAGGCCCCTATATTACGGCCTTCGTCCTCCTTGTCTGAGCCCCCCGTAGAGATCGGTGCCTGCGCGGAGCTTCCAACGCCACGAAGCTGTCAACCTTACAATACATAGATGGCTACTCGGCTACTAAGCGATGCTAAAAGGGGGAGCCCCTATTCATTCCCAGCTTTATTGGGCATGCTAGCTAATGGCTCGATTCTTGCCTTGACCCGCAACCCCAAGCACTCAAGCTCTAGGGTCCTAAACCCTCAACTCAGGGGTTGGCGAGCTGCTCTCGGCTTCACAGGCATTCAAACACCCCGAACCCTAAACCCTGAACCCTGAACCCTGAACCCTGAAGCTGAACATCGGCTCAGCATGTTGCGCCGTTAAAACCGGCCTGCGTGTGCAAGCCATGGGCGAGTCGCTGGCATGGCGGGTGAAGACCTACCTGCAGTGGACCGGATGGCTCCAGTGCCCCCACCCAAGCCGTTTGACGCTAATGTTCAGGGTTTAGGGTTTAGGGTTTAGGGTTTAGGGTGCCCCCAAGCTGTTCGAGGGCTCAGGACCTAGGGGCTTGGGGTTTATATAGGGGGTGCCCTGAACCGCGCAAAATAAGCAGTCAGTAAAACGGAATAGACGGCCATTTAGTAGTCATAAAGCCGAGAAAAAGCACTATGATGACGATGGCAACAAACAATTTGCAGCTGTCTTTAAGTTCTGGTCTCGTGCTTAGAACCCTAAACCCTAAACCCCCAACCCTAAATCCTAAATCCTAAACCCTAAACCCTAAACCCTAAATTGGACAAGCGGGAAGGTACATTCCGAACATGGTCGCTGCAGTGGTCGTGGGAACGCTAGCCTTGTTGCTCCACTATCTCGCGTTCGCTAGGATCTTCCGGCAGCATCTAGAAGGGTTTAGGGTTTAGGGTTTAGGGTTTGGGGTTTGGGGTTTGGGGTTTGGGGTTTGGGTTTAGGGCTAGGGTTCAGGGTTCAGGGTTTCGGGTTTAGGGTTTAGGGTTAGGGTTTAGGGTTTAGGGTTTAGGGTTTTGGAGTACTATACTCTAATACTCTTTGGTTCTGGGTTCCGGTTATAGCTACTTCTACCTGAAAAGTATATACTTTTTTTTCAGGGTCTACTCCACGGCTCATCACAAATCATGATAAAGCGCATTCCAGGCAAGCTCGAGACTCTGCGCAAGCATAGAAGCCTAAACCTGAAACCTTGTGCGGTCTTTTCCCTGTGCCCTAAACCCTTGAGGGTTTAGGGTTTAGGCTTCAGGGTTTAGGGGTTTAGGGCTTTGAGGTACTGACTGAGGAATTTTGATTACAACGGCCCTGAGCAAGTTTATAGCCATAGTTGCCCTGCTTATGACCGTACCTACAAGTACCCCTGAACCTCAAAGTGTTGCCCTTAAGCAATAGCAAGCTACTACAGGGTTCAGGTTGGGAGTTGTTGGGGTTATGTGATCTAAACAACTAGTATGCCCAGTACTACCCTTTTTCCCTTTTTTGGGGGGCTCTAGGTTCCCTTATCAGCCCCTTTAAGCAAAAAAGGGCACCCTTTTTAAGCCTAGGTTTCTGGGCGGCCTAGAAAAGGTTAGATTGCATTCTCTCAGCAGCTGTTCCGAGCTTGCTCTACTTCAAGCTTCTGTCACTGTCACGCTGTAGACCGCGACGGAACGCCAAACCCTATAACGTAGGGGTCGGAATAATTTCTACTAGTTTTCCCTTATATGTACTACCCCCCCAAAAAAATAATAAAATGAAATAAGAAATAATAATAGTAAAATTCAAAACTATTCTAATTATTAAGGTCCCTATAGTTAAACCTTGAGCCCTAGACTTCACTTGGCCGTCAGCCCATGCAATTCTAGGACCGGGAGTAGGCCCTTATTTCCCTTTTTTAGGGTTGGGGTTCCCTTGTAACCCCCTCAAAACCAAAAAGGGCACTGTTGTTATTCCTAGGTTGCTCCTGGGTCTAGAATTCTTACCCTTGGTTTGAGATGAAGGCAATCCGTGTGTGCTGGCTGCGTTCCCTTCCGGTCGCTGGTGTAGGCCCAAAAAACTAAACCCTAAAGCCTAAACCCTAAACCCTAAACCCTAGACCCTAGACCCTAAACCCTAAACCCTAAACCCTAAACAGGTTGTGGCTTTTGGCTTTAGGGGTTAGGGGTGGGTTTAAGGTTCAGGACCAAACCCTATTCCTAGCGGGACCAAGACTGCGGACAATTTGTGTATCCAGAAAGCACCCTAAACCCTAAACCCTAAACCCTAAACCCTAACCCTAAACCCTAAACCCTAAACCCTAAACCCTTGACGTGCCACTGTCATACAGGAGCCCACAGGATTCCTGAGTTTCCCCTTATCATCCCTCTTTGCGTTGCTTACAGCCTACCCAAACAGATGCTGTAGTCAGGCCCCTACGTAGGCCCCACATACTAAATCCTATGTTCTTTTCTGAAGTACTCGGACCCAGAGTGGGCTCCCATTTCCCTTTTTTGGGGGGTCGGGTTCCGTTATGATTCACCCCCTTAAAACCAAAAAGGGTACCATTTTTTATTCCTAGGCTACTGCTGAAACCTGTTCATGACAACCAAGCTTCAGGGGTAACAAAAAAGGTCATCTTACCCTGGTATACAGTAAACTCCAGCAAGTTGGAACATGGCTAAGGATGATTTGAGCTGGGATTCCCTTTAGGATACCTTTTGGGCATGGGGATAAGGATGTTCCAACTTTTCGGGGTTTGGTAACACTTTTACCCTCTCCCAGACCCCTAGGGAGGATCCAAAAAAGTGGATCCCTTTAAGGGTTCCTTTTCAAATGACCCAAGAGTAGTATGGCGAAACATTTCTTGGCAGCCCAGTGGCACGCTTTTCCTTTTTTGGTTCAAGGTTTCCTGAAACAGTAACCAACCCCAAAAAGAGGGTGCCCTTGGCAACCAAGATTTGATCTTCCCAAGGGGTCTGGGCTAGCTACTATGTTGGGGGTTCCTAAACCCTAAACCCTAAACCCTGAACCCTAAACCCTAAACCCTCAACCCTCAACCCTCAACCCTAAACCCTAAACCCTAAAGCCTAAACCCTAAACCCTAAACCCTAACCCTCAACCCTTTTAGACCAAGGGTGTTGATCCGAGGAGCTCCCAGCTCCTCACTGCCCTGAGCATCTTCCTTCTGTGCGTTCTGGCCTTTGTGGCGCTGCTGCACACCGAAAGCCTAATCCCTAAGCCCTAAGCCCTAAGCCCTAAGCCCCAAACCCTAATCCCTAAACCCGAAACCCTGAACCCTAAACCCTAAACCCTTAACCCTAAACCCTAGACCCTAGACCCCAAACCCTACACCCTAAACACATGGAATCTTAAACCCGCAGACCGAAGCCCCGAAGTTTGCAGAATCCCCCTCTCCAAAAACTTGGCTGAAGAACAGTCCTGAAATTAAAAACCCTAAACCCTAAACCCTAAACCCTAAACCCTAAACCCTAAACCCTAAACCCTAAACCCTAAACCCTAAACCCAACGCTGGCTTTATGGAGGGATTCGGGCTTAGGGTTTAGGGTTTGGGGTGTTTAGAGTACTAGGGTATGAGGGTTTAGATATTCAGGGTTAGGGTTTAGGCCATTCAGGGGTACTTGGGCTTAGGGTCAGAAGGGTTTAGGGTTTAGGGTTTAGGGTTTAGGGTTTAGGGTTTAGGGTTTAGGGTTTAGGGTGACAGCAGGGTCAGAAGGGAGGTGTGAAAAGATGGCTTATGCCAGGGTCCCTGAACAATCAAGAGCAGTGCAGGGTGCTGTGGTCTTGAGTGCGGCCCCTATAGAAAGAAATCCTCAGGCCTCTCATTTAAGTTGAGACCCTAGTGCCTCAGAACTCGCAACCGCGAATACCCTAAAACCCCGAATCATTTGTATCACCCTAGTGCCCTAAAGGCCCCCAAACCTCCCTATGCCCTAAGCACCTGTGTGCCAAAACAACAAAGACATCCTCCAATCGTGCATTAACCCTGAACTTTGAAAACCCTTAGACCCTAAACCCTAAACCAAAAACCTTAAGCCCTACTTGGAGGTTCACGGTTCCTTATGAGTAGAGTTAGAAGTAGAGGAACTATGATTATAGCCTTACTTAGAATCCTTATAACTCGACTTATAAGTACCCGCGAGCCTAAGATCCACCTTCAACCCTAAACCCTTACACCCTACACCCTAAACCCTAAACCCTAAGCCCTAAACCCTAAACCCTAAACCCTAAATCCTAAACCCTAAACCCTAAACCCCAACGTCGTAAGGATCTTGTGACTGTCAAGCTGGGACTGCATCCAGCGGAGCCGATCCCGAATCGCGTCATGACGGCAAGACCACAGGGTTTGTGGAGGAGGAGGGGGTTTAGGGTTTAGGGTTTAGGGTTTTTTCTTTTTGGTGGTTGAAGGGGCTGTAGGGTTTAGGATTCAGGGGAAGTTTTAGGGTTTTGGGGTTTCGGGTTTACTGGGTCTACGGGGCTTCGGATTTAGGGGTTCTAGGGGTGTCGGGCTTCATCTTCCGAGATTGCTGAATAGGCCAAAACCGTAGACCCCGATCCTGTAGGGTTTAGGGTTTAGGGTTTTGGGTTTTGGGTTTAGGGTTTAGGGTTTAGGGTTCGGGCAGCCGACCCTGCGTCGCCCAGCATGCTGCGGGAGTGCTGTTGTATGTCTCAGACTCCCAAACTTAGGGGCTGGGTAGCAAACCTTTAACTTTTTTGGTTGTATATAACCCTGTGACAACTAAAACGTTAACCTTCTCTGGGCTAGGGTATTCAGCCAGCTCCCAAACAGCTACATGAACACATTCAGCGAACACACTCAGCAGACCCTAAACTCCAAACCCCGTACCCCAAAGCATCCGAGACAGCCAAAAAGCCCAAGTGCAGGCAGAGATGAGTTGGATGCCTTCGATGCCGCTTGACACGGAAATTGTGGTTTTGGGGTTTGGGGTTTAGGGTTCAGGGTCTAAGGTCTTAGAGCGATTTATAGTAAGAACCCTGCGGATGGATTTGTGCGTGGTTCGCCTAGAGGCCAGAAGCAGAAAGCGCGAAACTTCCACACCCCGCCTTTGCGAACGCCATCATAGCTACGCGAGGCCCCGTGAAGAGAAGCAGACTGTGTTGTAGGCCGGTTCCCAACGTGCGAGTTCTGTACCAAACCTATTGCTGTAGACCTGGTGTTGCTTGCCTTTGGCTTGGCAATGAGAAGAGAATCATTTTAATGGACCTCAGAGATTGCTACCCTAAACCCTAAACCCTAAACCCTAAACCCTAAACCCTAAACCCTAAACCCTAAACCCTAAACCCTAAACCATCTCATGTAGGTACCCCAACAGGAACCTTCAAGAAGGACCCCTATTCCGTTGCTTCTAGCTCCCCAAAATCCAGTAGAGCACCCTAAACGCTTAGGGTTTAGGGTTCAAGGTTTGGGGCTTTAGTGTTTTATTTTGAGTCTTCGAGTTTTAGGGCTTTTGAGGGTTTTAGGCCCTAAACTCTAAACCCTAAACCCTAACCCCTAAACCCTAAACCCTAAACCCTACACCCTATACCCTAAACCCTAAACCCTAAACCCTAAACCCTAAACCCTAAATCAATCAAAAGGGATAGGATGTCAGGGTTCGGCGTGTACTCCGCCCTCAAGGGGGGGGGGGGGGGGCGTGTAGGGAATGTCTATCATGGTGTCACCCCAAGACCGAGGTTGGCCCCCTAAACCCTAAACCCTAAACCCTAAACCCTAAACCCTAAACCCTAAACCCTAAACCCTAAACCCTAAACCCTAAACCCTACATACCCTGGTGCCATGTTCAGGCTCGCTGGTTGGCGCCCCCAAATGCCCTGGATCCACTTCTGGTGCTCAGTTCCTTGAGTTCCGTAGGATTTCGGGTTTAGGGTTTAGGGTTTAGGGTTTAGGGTTTAGGGTTTAGGGTTTAGGGCTTCGGGAAAACCCTGTGAGCTATGCAGGACTTGGGCTCTCGGGGATTGGGGGTTCGGGCTTAGGGCTTAGGGAAGGTGCTTTCAGGGTTTTTGGGTGTCCGCTTCCGATGCAGGTTTAGGGTTGAGGGTTGAGGGTTTAGGGTTTGGGGTTTAGGGTTTAGGGTCTGCAAATGCCTTTAAGAGAACCGCCGAGGTGATGGTGCAGAGGCGCTCATGCAGATCATTCCAGGCGGTTCCCTTTCTGCACGCAAGGATTTGGGGGGTCCAGGGTGAGGGTTCCCCAAACCCTACACCCTACACCCTAAACCCTTCCCTCCTTATGCCCCTGAAAACAAGTGCAGCATTCGCCCTCCTTCATCCCCAACTTCACATGTCCTGTTCGCTTCCTCTTCAGCAGCCACTCCTTCGTTGCCAACAGCAGAGACGATGGCACACTCAAGATGGTGAGGGCTTAGGGTTTAGGGTTTAGGGTTTAGGGTTTAAGGTTTAGGGTTTAGGGTTTAGGGTTTAAGGTTTAGGGTTTAGGGTTTAGGGTTTAGGGTTTAGGGTTTAGGGTTTAGGGCGGTCACCGGGTTCAAGGTGCAGCAGCTTGTACGCGACGAGGGGCTTGAAAGGAACTTTACAGACTTCGCGATGCTGGGAAGGGCCTTCTGAGAGTTTTAGGGGCTGTTTAGGGTTCAGAGCCCGAAGCCCTAAACCCCAAACCCGAAACCCTAAACCCCAAACCCCAAACCCTAAACCCCAAACCCTAAACCCCAAACCCTAAACCCTAGGATGCATGCCTGGGGGCTTTGACTTAGAGCCCTAAGCCCGGGGGCGCTATCTCCAGATTCGTGACTGCAAGCTTACAAGCCCTGAGGGTCCTTTTCACCACATTCTTACCCTAAACCCTAAACCCTAAACCCTAAACCCTAAACCCCCAACCCCTTAACCTTTGAACCCTAAACCCAATGGTTACGGGTAGAAGAGCTGAATAGGTTCCCGGTCAACAGGTCCCCCCTTCACCCTTCCCGTCCCCCAGCCACTGCCCCCAAAAAATTCGGGCCGCTGGGACCCTAAACCCTAAACCCTAAAAGCTAAACCCCAAACACTAAACCCTAAGCCCAGATTTCCAGGGTTCAGCGCTTAGGTCCCCGAAGCCCGCGGATGCTCTAACCACCTCCTTGACGCTGTGCTTTTTAGATTGTATTGTGTTTAGAGTGTTCAGGGTGTTCAGTTTGTTAGGGTGTTTAGTTTTTAGTATTAGGCTGTCCGGATTTAAAGGCTTTGTAGGGGACTTTAAGGTTTTTAGGGGTTCTTTGTTTGGGCCCACCCCACCCCACCCGCCAGGCCCCCACCACCCCCCGGCCCTCCAGCGTCTCGCGCTCAGGCTCGTGACCTCACGGCGCCCCACCTCAGCGAAATCATGGAGGCGGGGAGCACTTAGGGTTCAGGGTTCAGGGTTTAGGGTTTCGGGTTTAGAGTTTAGGGTTTAGGTTTAGGGATTCTAGGCCGTAGGGTTTACGGTTTAGGGGAGTTGTGTGCGTTTTCCTAGCCTTGAACAGTGGCGTTTTGAACCCTGAACGCTCAACAGCAAAAACTCTACCCTAGTCTCGAAACCCAAAACCCTAAACAACAAACCCTGAACCCTAAACCCGAAATCCTGAACCCTAAGCCCTAGACCCTAAGCCCTAAACCCGAAACCCTAAACGTTACAGGTTAGAAAACCAAAGCGAAGCCCTAATCCCACTTACTTGGAGGTTCATGGGTAAAGAACCAGTAGCGTCATAAGTATGTGAGCTATGGCTATGACCTTACTTAGGGTACTTCTAACCCTACTTATCTCTACCCATGAACCTCCAAGTATGCCAGGAACAAACCCTAAGCCCTTAACTCTTAACCCTAGACCCCAAATCCCAAACCCCAAACCCTAAACCTGTTGTTCCCTCGCGCCGCCCTCAGAAGTAGGGGGGCTGTCCTGTCTAGACTTTTCCAGCTGTAGCTGTAGGAACCCTAAACCCTAAACCTCGAACCCTAAACCCTAAACCCCTAAAACCCTGAAACCCTAAACCCTTCGTGGAGGCAGTGAAGACTTTCACCGAGCCGTCACAGCTCCTAGGCGCGAGAGCCAAAGTTTCGGTCTTTTGGGGCTTAGGGGGGTAGGGTTTAGGGTTTAGGGTTTAGGGTTTAGGGTTTAGGGTTTAGGGTTTAGGGTTTAGGGTTTAGGGTTTAGGGTTTAGGGTTTAGGGTTTGGGGTGTAGGTTTAGGGTTTAGGGTTTGGGGTTGAGGGTTGAGGGTTTAGGGTTTAGGTTCATGGTTTAGGGCTTCTGGCTTATAGGACCTTTCTTGGCCCTCAGTATGGCCCTTAACTGGGGGAGCCCTTCAATACCCCGTAGTATACGTATGCCATACGAATCCCAAGGGCCCATATTTCAGAACCCTCTTTGAAAGGTAGCATGTCACTACACGCAGAGGTGCTGGGTTCAAGACGTAGGGCGTAGATAGCTTTGGTTTTTTTGTGGGAGGGGGTAGGGTGGGAGGTTGCTAGGTCTGGAGTTTAGGGCGTTTAGGGTACACTTGGAGCCCGATGACAGGGGGGATTCCCTAATCCTTTCTTCTAGGCTAGGTTCTGTCCCCTTCTGAAACGCTTCTTTAACCTTAAGTCCTAAGCCCTAAACCCTAAACCCTAAACCGTAAACCCTAAACCCTAAACCCCCAACAGTCCTAAACCCTAAACCCTTGATACAACCCGAAGCCCTCTCTGATTTCCGGGTATCTAGGGAAGTTGGGAAGTGCAGGCTAGTCCGCACGGGCACTGGTTTCACGGTTTCACACCACTGACCCTAAACCCTAAACCCTAAACCCTAAACCCTAAACCCTCAACCCTCAACCCTGAGCCCTGAACCCTGAACCCTGAACCCTGAACCCTGACATAACATGACCTACCAGTTTCTAAGGCATGCTGTTCCTAAGGCATTCTTTCCACCTCCAGGTGAACTATCGTGTTTGAAGCCACGCGACCCCGCATAGACCAGCGGCAAAACAGAAAGGACCCCAACCCAGCTATTGGGTGCCCTAAACCCTAAACCCGAAACTCTAAACCCTAAACCCTAAACCCTAAACCTTAAACCCGGCGGTGGGCTCAACCCCTCGAAGGCAAAGGGAAGATCCGCTTCGAGTACGTCAAGGCGCTGGCGCTGCGAGCCCTGTAAAAAATCTAAACCCTAAACCGATCGGCAACCTGGCACGCTAGGGTTTAGGGTTTAGGGTGTAGGGTGTAGGGTGTAGGGTTTAGGGTTTAGTGCTTAGAGTTTCCGAATCTCATGCTGGCACGGACCCCGAGATACTTGGCGCATTTTGGGTAAGACTACCGGCAGCCACCCAACTTGCCGATGATTCCTCAGACGCCCCTCTACGCGCTAGAGCCTAACCCTAAACCCTAAACCCTAAACCCTAAACCCTGAACCCTGAACCCTGAACCCTAAATCCTAAACCCAAATTACGCTGCGACTTACTGATGGGTACGAGCACAAGGATCATTCCTCAAGCCTTCCAAACGGAAGCCCAAGAGGGCTGAAGGGAATACTTGCAGGTTAGGGTTTAGGGTTTAGGGTTTAGGGTTTAGGGTTTAGGGTTTAGGGTTTAGGGTTTAGGGTTTAGGGTTTAGGGTTTAGGGTTTAGGGTTTAGGGTTTAGGGTTCATAGTTCATGTGTTTAGGGTTCATGGGTTCATGGGTTCATGGCCACTTATAAGTAGGGTAATAAGCAGGGTAACTTATATCAGGGTACTTATACCCACCTTAAAACTACGTAAGAACCTGTTGGTAGGGTTCAGGGGCTTAGAAGGCCCTATAAGCACCGAAAGCCTCAACCCTGACTTAGATAGAGCTTGTAACCCCTAGACCCCCAAACCCCTAAACCCGTAAACCCCTGAACCCCTAAACCCCTAAACCCTTAAACCCCGAAACCCGTCATCCCACGCCCCAGCAGGAGCCATTGACGGTGTGGCCGGTGGTTGGAGGCCTCTTTGAGGTGTAGTGAAATTGAACTAACTGTCTTTGGGGGCCCTAAACTCTAAGCCCCTAAACCCTAAACCCTAAACCCTAAACCCTAAACCCTAAACCCTAAACCCTAAACCCTAAACCCTAAACCCTAAACCCTAAACCCTAAACCCTAAACCCTAAACCCTAAACCCTAAACCCTAAACCCTAGGCTAGGGGGTGAAAGCGCGTTAGGAACTTAGGAACTTTAGCTATAAGGAAGCAGTTGTTTGTTGTCTTTTATTTTTTTTTTTGGGGGGGGGAGGGGGTGTTAAGCAGTTCGTAGTAAAGGCTCGGTATTTTACAGGGTCTAAACGCACCCCTGACATGGCCCACAATGCCTGAAGCCCCGAAAGCTAAGCCGGAAAGTCCGGCACCCTAAACCCTAAACCCTAAGCTGGACATCCTAACCCTAGGCCTGAACCCTAAACCCTCAACCCTAAACACTAGCCCTAAACATTCAGCTCGACACTCCTCAAGCCTCAAACTCTTTTCCCAAACCCTAAACCCCAAACCCTCAACCCTCAACCCTCAACCCTCAACCCTCAACCCTAAACCCTAAACCCTAAACCCCTTTCCCAGGGTAGGAAAGCAAGCCTAGCCCGCCCGACACGCGCCGAGCCCACGAATTCCTCGTGGCCCTGGCGCCCAAAGAGTACGACCGATTAGCCATCCTGGATGTGGGGAGGACGGGTTAGGGTTTAGGGTTTAGGGTTTAGGGTTTAGGGTTTATGGTTTAGGGTTTAGGGTTTAGGGTGTAGGCTGTAGGGTGTAGGGTGTAGGGTGTAGGGTGTAGGGTGTTTAGGTTTTAGGGTTTAGGGTGTAGGGTGTAGGCTAAGGGTTTAGGGTTTAGGTTTTAGGGTTTAGGGTTTAGGGTGTTTAGGTTTTAGGGTTAAGGGTTTAGGGTGTTTAGGTTTTAGGGTTTAGGGTTTGGGGTTTTGGGTTTAGGATGCAGTGCTAGGGTTCAGGGTTTAGGTTTAGAGTTCATGTAGGGTTTGCCTGGCAAGTACCCAAACCCTAAACCCCAAACCCTAATTACCCCAAATGGGCACGTTGCGGCCTTAGCTGGAGGTTTAGGGTTTAGGGGTTTGGAGGTTTAGGGTGTGTGGTCTGGGGTGCCCTGTACCATCAAACCCCAAAGCCCCAAGTCTGGGAATTCTTGGGTTTGGGGTTCAGGGTTTAGCGTTTAAGGTTTTTTCTTCAGGCCATTGATAGAGCTCTTCAAGACCTTCTGAGGATTTTGTGAATCGAGCTGTGTAGAAGTTGACTTGATCATGATTCGAGCTGCTGGTTCCCGTTACCCCCCTTGCAACCCCATTGAAGAAAAAAGGAGGCTTTATTGTGTGGGGTCTGTTTTGGGGGCAGCCTCATGAAGAATGGCCAGTGTTAGACTAGGTACCCCCCCCCCCCCTACCACCACCACCACCACCAACACCACCACCAGCACCACCACCACCACCACCACCACCACCACCACCACCACCACCACCACCACCACCACCACCACCACCACCACCACCACCACCACCACCACCACCAAAAAAGAACACAAAACAAGGACCCTATCATGTAGGAAGCCTACAAGGAGGGGCCCCCCTAGTTATAAGTAGAGTTATAAGGACCGTATATTGGGTAATCAGGTTATAAGTCCCTGAACTATAGTATAGTAACAGGGCCCCTCCTTGTAATTTCTGCTGACAAGCGCGGGCCTTGCGATGCCTAACTGCGCCCTGTCTCGCGGGGGTCTATCAGCGCGCACGCGCACACGTGGGGTTTAGGAGTTTTCGGTGCACATCCTCTACGTTTAGGGTTTAGCGTCTAGGGTTTAGGGTTTAGGGTTGGGTTTAGGGTTTAGGGAGGGTCCCGGACGCAACTCTCCTGATCCACCGTCGGTCCTCAATCAGCGAGGAGCCTGCAGAAGATCGTCCTGCTTCCTGCCTGCACCAAGCTGTAAACCCTAATCCCTAAACCCTAAACCCTAAACCCTAAACCCTAAACCCTAAACCCTAAACCCTAAAACCTAAACCCTAAACCCTAAACCCTAAACCCTAAACCCTAAACCCTAAACCCTAAACCCTAACCCTAAACCCTAAACCTTAACCTACTTGTAGATCAGGAAGATTAGGAGGAGGAGGGGGGTGGGCTACTTGCATTGGGGTCTAGGGCTCTTGGGCTCAATCCCCATACACCCTGGAGCCTGAACCCCAAAACCTTGGGGTGTATGGGGTTTGGGGTTTCAGGGTTTTAAGAATTCAGGGTTTTAGGATTTTAGGGTGTTAGGGTGTTAGGGTTTTTGGGGTTCAGGGTTTAGGGTTTAGGGTTTAGGGCGAGCCTTTGGTTAGATTGCAGATTTCAAGGCAGGCGACGCGCATGGGCCTGGCTACCTGTTGGATCGGCCCCGGCGCAGATCACAAAAGTGCGACTTGACGTGCAAAGATTTGTATTTTAGGTTTTAGGGTTTAAGGCTTAGGGTTTTAGGGCTTAGGGCTCAGGAAGCTCTCGGTTTTTTTTGTTTTCGAGGTTTCGGGCCGAAACCCCCTCTAAGTTTCAGCCCCTCCCTGCACAATGGGAGGGAAGGTCTTGCAGAAGCCGCGCAGAGCGCGACACGTCTCATCCACGTCTCATCCGCGCATCTCTTCACTCCCCCCGCTACAAAGCCCGAAACCCTAAACCTTAAACCCTAAACCCTAAACCTTAAACCCTAAACCCTAAACCCTAAACCTAAGCCCTAAACCCTAAACCCTAAACCTTAAACCCTAAACCCTAAACCCTAAATTTGAGAATCTTGGGTCAGGGCTTGGCTGAAGGGTTCGGGTCTAGGCGCGAAAAATGTGGAGCTTCTGCCGCTCGAATGCTTGTTTGCCCCACTCTTCTTCGCTCTTCCATAGCCTTTGCCATTGCGGTTTAGGGATTAGGGTTTAGGGATTGGGGTTTAGGGTTTAGGGTTTAGGGTTTAGGGTTTAGGGTTTAGGGTTTAGGGTTTAGGGTTTAGGGTTTAGGGCTGGCCCACAAGCCGAAGTCATTCATTCACTTGTCCTTCGGCTCGCTGGGTCGCGCCAAATTCTTCGGAACCTCGGAACCACTAAACCCGAAACCCACGCTGGAAGAGGCCCGAAGTGAAACCCTGTTTAGGGATTGGGGTTTAGGGTTTGGGGTTTAGGGTTTTGGGTTTTGGGTTTAGGGTTTAGGGTTTAGGGCTGGCCCTCAAGCCCCAACTTAGCCAGAGAGTCCCCGTGGGGAGACTGAACCCGAAGTTCCCCTTAATTAAACCCTAAACCCAAATTCCCACCAACTTTAATTCCTTGACCCTGAATCGAGGATCCCCAGTAGTGCCCTTTTCACCCTTTTTTGGGTGTTTAGGTTCCCTTCTCAACCCCTTTCAGCACCCAAGGGCACGCTCTTTAATCCTAGGTTACTGGGCAACCTAGCAATCCATCAACTCTAAACCCATCTAAACCCTAAACCCCAAACCCCAAACCCCAAACCTCAAACCCCAAACCCCAAACCCCAAACCCTAAACCCTAAACCTAAACCCTAAACCCTTCGAAGGGCTGAGGACTTGGGGCTCACGAGGGGGGGGATGGGAGGGGTTTTAGGCTTCAGGGGGGGCTTTGGGCTCTCATCTCTCACTGAGCACTTGGGGTGCTAGGCTTTTTGAGGGCTTAGGGGCTTAGGATTCTAGGGTTTAGGGTTTAGAGTTTAGGGTTTTGGGTTTAGGGTTTAGGTTTAGGGTTTAGGGCTAGGGTTTAGGGAAAAGAGGGTTTGGGCCATCAGGTGATCTCCAAGCTGGGGAGCCGCTACAACGAAGAAGCTTGATGAAATGGGACCATGAACCCCTGCAAGGAGGTTTGGGGTTTAGGGTTTAGGGCTTAGGGTTTAGGGTTTAGGGCTAGGGTTTAGGGTTATGAAGGGGTTCTTCCTTCGCCCTTCTGGCGCTCCGCCTCCTTATGGACCCAGAGCTTCCTTTTGGGGTACAAGGAGGGGCCCCCTCACTATACTACCTAACAGTCAAGAGCTTGGGGATTTGGGTTTAGGGTTTAGGGTTTAGGGTCCCATTTAGTCTTAGTTAAAGCGCCATTGTGCGGTGGACCTCAGGGCACCAGGCACAGATTCTTCAGACTTTCTCTTGGGCAGTGGGAAAGATGCCAGGCAACCGGAGGCAGGCTTTTGGAGTAATCAGAGTCGCAGAGTCTGATGTCACTTTGCTTGGCATCCCAGGCGCCGGTGGAGTTTTCATTCAGGCTCCCAAGGACAAGAGTTTAGGGTTTAGGGTTTAGGGTTTAGGGTTTAGGGTTTAGGGTTTATAGGGTTTATAGGGTTTAGGGTTTAGGGTTTAGGGTTTAGGGTTTAGGGTTTAGGGTTTAGGGTTTAGGGTTTAGGGTTTAGGGTTCCTAAACAGTACGTGCAGTGGATCGGGCGTGATCCCACATCTGAGCCTGGAACGCATATGGATTTTGGAGTCTGCCGAGGGCAGGCGACACGGAACAGGCAACTACGATTTTCGAGCCGGTTTTCGACGAGGTCTCTATCACACGTCAACTGCACCGGTTTAGGGTTTAGGGTTTAGGGTTTAGGGTTTAGGGTTTAGGGTTTAGGGTTTAGGGTTTAGGGTTTAGGGTTTAGGGTCGATCGGGTCAGAAGAGTTTTGTTTTCAAGGGCACCTGCAAACGAGGCAACGATGTGGATTTAGTGCCCATTGGGTTTAGGGTTTAGGGTTTAGGGCTACTCACTGCGTGGGCTCGAGTTGCCCGGACTTCCAACCAATTTTAGGATCCCTATAGCCCATTGAGGGTCCTTCTACCTCTACTTGTAAGGTTGAGGGGGTTGAGAGGTTTAGGGGCTTAGGGGCTTGGGGTTAAGGGTTTTTAGGGTTTAGGGGTCTAGGGGTTCAGGTTCCGGGGTTTAGGAGTTCAGGCGCTCAGGGGTTGGGGGTTTGGGCGATTTACGGGTTTAGGGGTTTAGGGTTTAGGGCTTGAACCGCCCTGGCCACCCAGAAAACCTGCAAACTTAGTCATTTTTCAAGGACATGCACAGTGAGCTTTGTCTTTGTCAAGGGTTGCAACGTTTGAAATGGCTACTGAGTTTAGGAGAGAGGCTAGTCTTGATATGTTGTGTAAGCTGTGTGAATTTGTAAATTTCATACCTATGGGTTCCCGGTGGCCCAGAAAACCTTCAAGTTTTAGAATTTCCTAAAGATTCAAAGTGTATCAATTTGCAGAATTCACAAGGGTTGCTGGTTTTCGTAAAGTTTGTAAAGCTTGTAAACTCTATAATTTTAGTTTTTAACATTATGTGAACCCTTTAGTCTGTTTGTGCATAAAAATTGTCAAACTTTGATCGTCTGGGATCCCGGCGACACACAAACCTTTAAGACACCTCAAACTGATGAAAAAACTCGAAGCTAAAAAGTTTCAAAGGGCGTCTGGGTTTAGTAGAGAGGCCAGGGTTTGAAGACTAGGTTTAGGGTTTAGGGTTTAGGGTTTAGGGTTTAGGGTTTAGGGTTTCTTGCGATTCTTGGGATTCTTGGGCATTCATGAACCCAGATTCCAGAACTGCACAAGCTGCAAGCCCCTTCCCCTAATGTTGAACCCCCCCCAACCCCCAATAGTAACTACCCGTTCATTTTCTCTAACACAACACTAGTGGGAGAAACTAATATTATGCGGTGGCAGCGCGGCAAGGCTATTTCGTTAACATCGCAAATTTTAGGGTTCCTGGGCCTTCAGGAGCCCAGAATTTTGTAGATGGCTTAGGGAGTTCGGTGTGTCTGCAAGTTCTTTAGACCCGAATACCCCTAACCCTGCAAACCCGCTATGCCCTAAAACTTAGACACCAGAAGCTCCTAACCACTAAACCCTCCAAAAGCGCCTCCCCCCCCCCCCCCCCCCCCCCCCCCCCGCCCCCCTTCTCTCCTGCCTTAGGACAAGGACCACATCATCTGCGTCTGCGCTTTCGGGTGTCCAGGCAGAAGCGGAGGTGTCAAAGTCCTTTGCGCCACGGTAGGTTTAGGGTTTAGCTTTGTGTCCTCAAGCACTACCTGTGGGATGCTAATGTACCTAGGATGATCCAGCTCCTGGCATTAGCGCCCCCCCCCTCCCCCCCCAAGCCCTAGAGCCCAAAGCCCTTAAACCTGAAACCCAAAACCCCTAAACCCTCAGCCCTAAACCCTTAACCCTTAACCCTTAACCCTTAAACCCTAAACCCTAAACCCAAACCTTTTCCTTTCAACCCTGCACCTTAAACCCTACGGAATGCTAAGGGTTACTGTAGAGGTCGGAAAAATTTCTAACCGTATTTCCTGATGGTCCATATATAATGTTAGGGTTTAGGGATTAGGGTTTAGGGTTTAGGGTTTAGGGTTTAGAGTTTAGGGTTCAAATTATCAAGGCCATATTAAACTTTAAAGCCTGCTTTCCACCATGGCATCAAACAGGTCAAATCCTATGATTGCACGACCAAGCTTTTGCAAACGTGTGAATGGAACAGTAAAACAGCTGAAGCCCGGGCCCCCCCTTATCATCAGGCCCCGAATGGGGTACCCCGAATTTGGGAAACCACCAAGGACCAAAGTCCTCCATCTCCCAGCATCTGCCAGGTACGCCTCCTGGTACATTCCAACAGCGATCAATCTGCTCGTGCAGAACATCAGCAAGAGGCGCATGCAGCTGGACAAGCTCTTCTTCGCCGATTCTGATTTCCAACAGCCTTTGGACACAAAGGCGTGGCGGGGGGGGGGGGTGGGGTTGAGTTTAGGGAAGGCTTAGGGGTTGGTGGGGGTGGGGTTCATGGTTTTCAGATGTCCGCGATACCTAAGCTTTCCCTACTCCTTTCCATCGGGTTCGGATCTCTCAAACAAAAAGGGGTGCCCGAACCCTAAACTAAGCCCTAAACCCTAAACCGCAAACCCTAAACCCTAAACCGCAAACCCTCAACCCTAAACCCTAAACCTTCAACCCTAAACCTAGACCGTCTGGTTAGGCATGTTAAGATCATGGGCATGCCAGACTCAACCCAAAGCCTTGGGGGCCTCCTTTTGTTGTGTTCCTGTCTTCGACCCCGGCCCTCCCCCATCTCCAGCGTTGTAGGGGTTAGGTTTTAGGGTTCAGGGTTTAGGGTTTAGGGTTGACGCACATATTCTCCCACTCCTTCTCAGACTCACACGCTCACACACTCGCACTCACCTACTTCTGCGCTAATTACGCTGGGTTCGGATGTCAAAGTCGGTGGGGAGCGGGGAGGAAGAGCCGGGCTTCTCAAAAGCTTAGCAAGACGTCTTCATAGGGGTTAGGCTAAGCAGGGGTATCATGGGCCCAACGAAATCCAATAACTCCCAAGCAGAGCTGTTGATTCCCGCAACTTTCCCTGAAATCAACCCTACCGCGACCCCCACACCCCCCCCCCCCTCTTAAACCCTAAGCCCGAAATCTGAAACCCCAAGCCCTAAACCCTAAACCCCCACCTTTGTGTCCAAAGAAGGCTGCTGGAACCGAAGAAGAGCTCGGCCAGTGGCATGCGCCTTCTGCTCATGGTCTGCATGATCATGTGGACCGCCGTCGGAATGTTCCAGGAGGCATTTACCTGGCAGAGGCTGGTGGCAGTTCAGGATTTGGGACTACTGGTTGGGCCAAACAGATCCCCCAATCCCACATCTACCTAGCGAAGGTTCCGGCCTAGAGAGAAAGCGGGTTCCTCAAAACAAGGAGAGATACACGTATATATATATATATATATAATATATGTATATTATCTCTATATTTATATATATATATATGCCCAAACAATGGAGCCGCTTACGCGCGGCGCCTCGGCAGCCGGCCTGGCCCAACGCGGGGTGTAGCGCATCGCAGACGACGGAAAGCCAAGCTGAGAAGAGGAGAAGGAGAGACACCTCTCGGCCAGAAGCCGAGGCGAATCAAGGAAGCTTCTCTCAGGTGCACGAAATAGTTATATGTATATATATATATTAATACATGTATGTATGTATGTATGTATGTATGTATGTATGTATGTGTGTATGTACACATATAGATATGTATGAAGAGGACGCCCTGGGTAACCGCCGAAACCTCCGCAACGTCATGAGCGGCCCAACCAGTAGCCGCACATCCGTCAATGCCACAACATCTGGGTTTAGGGTTTAGGGTTTAGAGTTTAGGGTTTAGGGTTTAGGTTTAGGTTCAGGGTTTAGGGTTTCCAGGTATTCCTCCTGGTACATTCCCACGGCGATCCAGCTGATCATGCAGACCATGAGCAAAAGGCGCATGCCACTGGGCAAGCTCTTCTTCGCAGACCCCGAGTTCCAGCAGCCTTTGGACACAAAGGTGGGGGTTTAGGGTTTAGGGTTTAGGGTTTAGGGTTTAGGGTTTAGGGTTTAGGGTTTACAGTTGAGGAAGCCTACAGGGGGGCTTCCGAAACGAGAATTTCTCAACCGGACCCTGGGGTTACATATGGGGGGTCAGGGAACCCACTTGCAAGGGGCGATCGTCAGGTCACTACTGATCCCTAGCTGACCTGACTTGGTTTGAGTACTATAAGTTAATACCTTGTTTTGGTTCTGGGTTCCGATCAGCTACTTTTACTACCTAAAAAGTATATACTTTTGTTCAGTCTAGTACTCCAGAGTAGAGCTAAGGCCATTACAGTTGGGGCCGCTTTGCGGGGCTTCCTCAGAATAGCATCTGGGGAAACATCGGGATGAAATTTTGTTTCAGTGCCATACTTCTTATAGTACAAGACTTTGTGGGACGGAGAGAAGAGCAAGACTTTAAAAACCCTAGACCCCTGACCGAGCAAGTCCCCTGGATGCAGGCTTCTCCTTATGATCGCTTCGGCCGCTGTTATGAGGCAAGGCTGAGGGAGTTGTGTAGGGTTTGGGGTTTAGGGTTGGGGTTAATCTTCTACACTACGCATCTTGGGTCCCGTACATAGTATAAAGTTTCTTTCCGGGGGGGGGGGGGGGGATTGTCTTGGTGAGAGTAGGCATTTGCCCAAAACTATGGTGAGTGGATGTATGTATTATGTATATATATATAGATATTCATTATACAGACACATATGTTCTTCCTGGGGAGACCACGATCGAGAGCCTCAAGTCCTAAACCTGAAATCGTGTAAGCCCTACACTACACCCTTAACCCGCACCTGGAAACCCTAGGCTCACGGCATCTAAGTCCTCAAACCTCACAAGCCCGACATCCTGGGAAATCCGAGCACCCGAAATAGGCTGAGCCTTTCTTCTGTGGCCCCTAAACCCTGAACCCTAAACCCTAACCACCCTAAACCAAAAAAGAACCCCAACCCCTAAACCCCTAAACGCCTAAACCCCTAAACCCCTAAACCCCTAAACCCCTAAACCCCTAAACGCCTAACTCCCTAATACCCTAACCCTCTAAACCCCGAAGCCCCTAAACCCCTAAACCCCTAAATCCTAAATCCTAAACCCTAAACCCTAAACCCTAAACCCTAAACCCTAAACCCTAAACCACCCTAAACCAAAACAAAAACCAAACCCCTAAACCCTACACCCCTAAACCCCTAACCCCTAGTGGGATACCCTTCCAGGCTTGCCGCTGGGGTCCTTCGTCCTTCAACGCGCAGCCTGTGCGCGTGTTGGGCGCGCAGGGAGGCCAGCGCTGCATCTTCCGGCTTGTGGTTTTTTCGCCCTAAACCCTAAACCCTAAACCCTAAACCCTAAACCCTAAACCCTAAACCCTTGGGTGTTGGCTCAGAAGGTTTAGCGCAGGCCCCCTGAGAAGGAACGGCCTTGGGAAAGCCTTCTTAGTTAGGATTCTAGAGTCCAGAGTTGAGGCTTCAGGGGAAGTTGTGGGCATGAAGATGTGGATATTTGACAGATGCGTGACAGACTTAGACTCAACATGCTGCTGCTTTTCCCGAAGCCCTAACCCTAAACCCTAAACCCTAAACCTTCAATGACCCAAGATGGCCATCCGCAATCCCTTTTGCTATTGGGGGTGTAGGGTTTAGGGTTTAGGGTTTAGGGTTTAGGGTTTAGGGTTAGGGCCGTTTATGGGATTGGGGTTTAGGGTCCTAGGTTTAGTTTAGTGTGGCGAATGGATACAGCGGGTCCAGACAGCTGCGTCATGTCGAGATTAGGGTTGTGTCTTTATAGGCTTGTCCACACCTGGCTGTGGGCGATTTTCCTGACAGAAGACTGGGTTGAATGCCCGTTCGGGCGTAGGGTTTAAGACTGACTCTACCTTGGACCCCTCAGGAGGTACCCTTAAGGCTTGGGGACCCTTTCAAAGGATTGTCAAGACAATAAAAATAAGGGGAGGGGCATGTTCGGAGTATACCAACCCCTAAACCCGAAACCCTAAACCCTAAACCCTAAGGGAAACCCGTAGGGGTGCAACCTTAGGGCTACGAGCCTGAAGCCCTTGAGCTTGCCGCTCTGACGATGTTCATGCTACTTCCTTTGCAAAGTCGGCTACTCTTTGCTGAAGAACCCCCCCAAAGAAAACAAATAAATAAATATATATATATATATATAGATGTGTGTATAATATGTATATATATATATATACATATATATTATTCCTTATAAGGGCATTGCAGGGAGTGTTTTTGTATATTCTTTTGGGGGTTCTTAAGCAAAGAGTAGTCGGGGAGGCTCAGCCGGTGGCGTGGCTTAAATCCTGAACTCGGTAGGCACTTGGGGTTTTTGTCTATTTCCTTATTGGCTTTAAGAAGATCTGATGTAGGAATGTTTTTTTTCAGAAGTTTGAGGGCCAGCCTAGCTAACTTAAACCCGAAAAGCCCTATAAGACCCAAGATTTAGAGTTTAGGGTCTAGGGGTTTAGGGTCTAGGGGTTTAGGGTTTAGGGGTTTAGGGGTTTAGGGGTTTAGGTGTTTAGGGGTTTAGGGGTTTAGGGGTTTAGGGTTTAGGGTTTAGGGGATAGTCTTGCAGATGGTGCAGGGCGCCGTTTCGATTTCTATGGAGCGAACAGCTCTCGCTACTACACGCCCGTGGCCGTAGGCCTTCCGCGACCGATTCAGGGCCTGGAGGGCTCAGGACTTGGGGTTCTAGGGCTTCGTTTCGGGTTTAGGGTTTAGGGTTTAGGGTTTGGGGTTTGGGGTTTGGGGTTTGAGGGCTTTGGGTTCAGGATTTAGGGTTTAGGAATGTTTAGGATGTGTGGTTTACGGTATGGGGAGGGTGTGTCGGCTTACTTACATGGAGCCTGGGGTTACTAAGGGCTTAAGGCACCCGTACAGGGTTACTTTCAGGTTTCTAGAGTGTGTAGGGTTCAGAGTCTAGGGTTCAGGGATTAGGTTTGCGGGGTTAGGGTTGAGGTTTTCGGATTTAGGAGCCCGCCCATGAGATGGCCATAACGAACGAGATATGCCACGAGTACACCCTGGCCCCGGGGCCACCAAGCAGGTTCAACACTGAGCCCTAAACTTTCAGGGTTCAAAACCCCTAAACCCTCACAGTGATCATGGGTTTAGGGTTAGTGCTTAGGGCTGTTGTTGGGGGATCATGGGGGCCACAACATTCTTCTAATGGATATTGCTTTCTGAATACTCTAGTTTGTAGCCCATTATCCTGTGCGCTGTTTAGGGTTTAGGGTTTCGGGCTTAGGATGGGCAGCAACCCAAGAACCCTGAAACCCCAAGGACGCTAAGGCTCAAACCTCCTCAACCCCAAGCCCTCTCCTCAAACCCTAAACCTCCTAAACCTGCTAACCTCCTCAACCCTAAACCTCCTCAGCCGTAAGCCTCCTCAACCCTATAAGCCCTAAGCCCTAAACCCCTAAACCCTCACCCTAAACCCTAAACCCTAAACCCTAAACCCTAAACCCTAAACCCTAAACCCTAAACCCTAAACCCTAAACCCTAAACCCTAAACCCTAAACCCTAAACCTTCTCAACCCGATGCCTCGGAGCCTCGAAGGGATATGGCTGGCGAACTGGGAGACGGGTAGCTTGGCTGCAGCTTCTACTGCGGTTTCGGGTGCAGGGCTTGGGAGGTTTTGGAGGTGTAGGAGGTTTAGGCTCTCAAGTCCAGTACCCCTGAGCCCTGCACCTTGAGGGTTTAGGTCGGGGATTTAGGGTTTAGGGTTTAAGGTTGCCTGTTTAGGGTTAGCTGCAAGATGGCGCAGATGCTGTGGAGGTTGGGATGCGGAATAAGCTCGAAAGCTTCGTCAGGTGCGGTGCGAAGAGCAGCTCTGGCCCAATTGTGGAGGTCCATCTGACACCTTCTCCCACCTCACGCCGTCCAAGACGGCAAAGCCGTCCAAACCTACCCTTTTAGGTTTAGGCCTAAACTCAAGTTTGCTCACTTATAAAGCACCTCTTCCATCCAGTAGTTTGTTAGGGCTTCCTTCAAAAGGTATGACCTCAGGTGTCCCAGGGGGCCCACCCCAAAAGCTTCCAAATTACACTTTTGAGCTGGGCAGAGCACCTGGTCCCTAAATCCTCAAACCAGAACCCCTAACAATACCCTGAGCCCAAGGTCATGAACCCCAAGCCACCCCAGCCCCTAAACCCTAAAGCCCTAATTGCATCTTTAAACCCTAAACCCTAAACACCAAACCCTAAACCCTCTAAACCCTAAACCCTAAACCCTAAACCCCAAACCCCAAACCCTAAACCCCAAACCCTAAACCCTAAACCCTAAACCCTAAACCCTAAACCCTAAACCCTAAACCCTAAACCCTAAACCCTAAACCCTAAACCCTTTCCCGAAGGTTGCCAAGCCCTTGGCCTGAAGGGGCACTTCGCCACGCTGCCGGGGGAGCAGGGGACGCCACTGGGGCTGGAAGGGTTTAGGGTTTAGGGTTTAGGGTTTAGGGTTTACAGTGCGAGCGTTGGTTAAGAATGTGCAAGGGTCTGGTCAGGGGGGGCTCAGATTCTTAACTAGAGAACGACTTGTTCAGTGTGCATTTTGATGCTCTTCCGGCTTCAGGGGGGGCTCAGATTCTTAGCACATTCTTAAGTGGGATTCGAGCCAGCATCCTTACGACTTAAGGAAGACGCTGTAGCCACTAGCCCAAAGCATTCTTTCACACATAACTCTGCTGTAGGGGCTCAGATTCTTAACTTGGAGGTTTCTGAGGTCGACCGCTTGTGTACAGCCTGTGCAAGCTCAGAATCTGAGGGGCTCAGACTCTTAATTTGGAAGTTTTTGAGGTTGTGCACAGCTTTCGCAAGCTAAGAATCTGAGGGGCTGAGATTCTTAGCCAGCTAAGAATCTGAGCCCCTCAGATTCTTAATTTGGAGGTTTTTGAGGTCTGAACTCAATCCCTTTCAGGTAATGCAGTCCTGAAATGCCTGAACCCTCAACCCCGAAACTGCTACAAGAAGGGAGCGCGCGAACAGGCAGGGGCCTATTGCTTGAGCTTTTTTCTGTTTTTTTGGGGCCAAAGCTTCACAAGCTAAGAATCTGAGGGGCTCAAGTTCTTAGTTGGGGGTTTCTGTGATTTGGGCCTGCTTGTGCAAAAGACTACAAGCTAAGAATCTGAGGGGCTCAGATTCTTAATTCGGGGTTTTCGTTTGGCGCCTGCTTGTGTAAAAGCTTTGCAAGCTAAGAATCTGAGGGGCTCAGATTCTTGATTCGGGGCTTTTCCTTTGGCAGCTGCTTGTGTAAAAGCTTTACAAGCTAAGAATCTGAGGGGCTCAGATTCTTAATTCGGGCTTTTCGTTCGGCATCTGAGGGGCTCGGTTCTTAACTGGAGGTCTGTGATCTGTGTGCCAAAGCTTACAAGCTAAGAACCTGAGGGGCTCAGATTCTTAATTCCTTGTGTTAAAGCTTTACAACCTAAGATTTTCGAGTTGTCGTGAGTGGAAAGTCCCAATGACAAGCAAAGAAACAACTGGATTAAGAATGTGCCCTCAGATTTCAGGGGGGGCTCAAATTCTTAAGTCAAAGACACCCAGTAAGGGGCGGAAACAATCCAATGCATAAGAAAATTCAGCCCCTCAAATTCTTAAGCAAGGAATTCTTAAGCAATACTCCCGCTGTAGGGTTTAGGGTGTAGGGTGTAGGGTTTAGGGTTTAGGGTTTAGGGTTTAGGGGGCTCGAAAGGTGCTTCTGGGAAATGCTTGAGGATTCCTATGGGTTTGTGCTGGAAATTGAGTGTCGTTTTGATATCGGGCTTGTCGGGTCTTAGGGGTCTTGCCTACTTGTTCTTCGTAGGATTTGGGAATTCGGTGCCCTAGACAAGTTCTCAACAGGTTATATGACGGGATATCCCGTAATTCCCTCATTCAGGACTGGCAAGGTTGGGGGGGGTTCGGGGGCTTTGAGGCCAAGAAGGACATCCTTTTGCTTATGTTCTTTTGCGGGGCTCTGTTCAAATTTCTTCTGTTTAGGGTTGCCAAACGTGTAGGGTTTACAGAGTTCGAAAATCGTCATCGTATCTGCTTGGGCTCAGGAAACCCTAAACCCTAAACCCTAAACCCTAAACCCTAAACCCTAAACCCTAAACCCTAAACCCTAAACCCTAAACCCTACACCCTACACCCTAAACCCTAAACCCTAAACCCTAAACCCTGAACCCTACACCCAGTTCTGGGGGTTTTGGGCCTAAGCAACCGAAAACAAAAGTCAGGGGACTCAAGCCGATTTGAGCTCCTAAACTACAGTTTAAAGCCCGAACCGTCCGTACCTGGGTTGCCCCCCCCCCCCCCCCCCCCCCCCTCCAATGGGTCCAGGGTTTAGGGTTCATGGTTCAGGGTTCAGGGTTCAGGGGGACTTGAAAACCCATGTCCTGCAAATGTTGCAGGTTGGGGTTTCGGCGACCACACCCTATCGGTTCATAGGGTATGTAGGTAGGGTTGTAATCATCAAGTGCCCTAGTCCCGTGCCTCCCCCCCCCCCCCCCCATTACCAACTCCGGCATGCCAAAGCCCAACACCCTCAAGCCAGAGCAACATCCCTGGGCATCAGTTCTTCACGTGGGTACGAAACCTTGAGCCAAACTCCCCAGGAACCCCCCCCCCCCCCAAAAAAAAAAACCGTTGATTCCCTGCAACGACATCGGAAGCCCCAATAAACCACCAGGAAGTCGCTACAAAGCGATGGGCCCGTGTACGACATGAGCTGGATGAGCGACGAGCGCCTCGAAAAATGATTGGGGCCCTAGAAAGCCTAACGCCGAAAGCCGAGCGCCTAAACCCCAAAGTCTGAAGCCTGAAGCCCAAACTACTATTTTGTTACGAACACCCCCCCTAAATGGAATGTTCTTAATTCTTCCTCTTCCATAGAAGGGCAATCTGATGACGATTGTTTTTTTTTTGAATTTTCTTAAACAAAGAATAGGCACCCTAAACCCTAAACCCTACACCCTAAACCCTAAACTCACATTTGAGGGTCTCGGAGGCGCCTGCAGAATTTCAGGGCTTGGGTTCTGGAGGCACTCAGAAGGACAAGCCACGGCCAAGAACCGCCCATGTACACACTTTAAAGCTTCAACATCAGCCCCAAAAAAGCCCCAAGGTCTAGGGTTAGGGGGGTTAGGGTCTAGGGTCGGGGGGTTCAGGGGTTTAGGGTTTTAGGGGTTTAGGGTTTAGGGTTTAGGGCTACAGGAGTTTAGACCAAGGCCCCAAAGCCCTCACAACCCGCCAAGGGTTTGAGTTCGACACGGTGGAGGAGCTCGAGGTCAAGCCTCCAGGAAGCCCTGGTTCATGGAGGTTTAGGGTTTAGGGTTTAGGGTTTAGGGTTGAGGGTTGAGGGGTTAGGGTTCAGGGTTTAGGGTTAGGGTTTAGGGTTTAGGATTTAGGGTGTAGGGTTTAGGGTTTAGGGTTTAGGGTCTGGGCCCCATTCCCCCAAAATATCGCGGGTTTCAGGCTTGAAAGGGTTCAGGGTATATACAGAAAAACTCATCGTTACGCATGTTTTGGCGTGAATTTGTATGTCTATATATTTCATTGGTAGATATACATATATATATATACACAGATTTATTTATGTTTGTATAGTCACCTGGCCTGCTTGGTTCTTGGGGGAGGAGGGGGAGTGGGTTATCAGACGGCTCAGGGTTTCGCCAGAAACGGATGTAGGGAGGGCCAAGGCCGTTGCAGCCGAAGTTACGTACCGGGCTTTGCCAAATCGGAAGTAACTCTACGTGAAGGCTTCTATGTGGTGCCTTTTGGGGTGGCATGCTAGACTGGCTAGACTCCCGTAAACCGAGCCCGAGAAAAGGAACGACATTGGAGCCTTCAGGTAAACCCCAAACCCTAAACCCTCTTCCTTCGTATCCTTGGATGCAAGTAACTGGCCCTTCTTCTTCCCACCTGAAAGCTCTCCAGGTTCGCTTAAGATTTTATTATGGTTTAGGGTTTAGGGTTTAGGGTTGGCGGAGGGGGAAGCCAACATCCTAAGTTTAGTGGTTAAGGGGACGGGGCTAGGGCTTGAGGGCTTTGGGTTGGGGAGTAGAGGAGAGAGAAGTCGTCCCTATACTCACTCCGCCTGAAGCACCAGCAAGAAAAAGCAAGAGTACTCTCCGCAGGCGCCCGCATGCCGTGACACCCTCGTCAGAAGTGACCTGAACCTCGCCTACTATTTGCTTAAGAACCCCCGACAAAATTAAAAAAACACTAATCCCTATATTGCCCTCATAAAGAACAAGTCTTACATTTGTGGGGTTCATAAGCAAACAGTAGTCACACGGTGCAAGTGAAAGCAGCCCATGAAGTTGGGTGCGGATGGCTGTGCATTCGGGGGGGGGGTTAATAATTTCAGGGGTGTAGGGTTTCGGGTTTTGGGGATAAGGGTTCAGGGTTTGGGGTTTAGGGTTCGGGGGCTAAGACGGGGCCCAAGTTTAGGGATTGATTTGAGTTTAGGGTTTGGGGTTTAGGGGTTTAGGGTTTAGGGTTTAGGGTACAACCTTCGACGTCAAGTTGTGGATTAGGGAACCCTAAGCCCCAAACCCTAAACCCTAAACCCAAAGACCCCAAACTCCTAAAACCCCTACACCTTGTAGCCCAAAGACACCCTCATCAGGCTCTTTCTTGCTCATGGATCCACAGCCCTTCGGAGTAGGGTTTAGGGTTTAGGGTTTAGGTTTAGGGCCCTAATAGTTTAGGGTCTATAGGGTTTAGGGTTTAGGGTTTAGGGTGTAGTCGGTTGCTAAGCCGAAGCTCTAAACCTTAAGCTAGGATGCCCGGGAGTGGGTTTAGGGTGCAGGGCGTAGGGTTCAGGGTTGAGGGTGTAGGGCCTATGGGTTCAGAAGTACCTGGTTTCACGGGTAGGATCCCTGATGAAAGCCCCTAACCGAACAGGGCACCCTTTTCATCAACAGGTTGTTACTAGCAAAACGTACCAGAGTAAGCATCCGCGATCCAGCCTGCGAGCCTGCACCAGCGTTCCACGATTGCTTGAGCTGTCGACAGAGCCGTGCGAGGGCACGGTTCGAAAAAGCACCGCAGACCCCAAACCTGAGGCGTGCAATCCGGAGTTGGTGTATCGACGATGGCTCGGTATACTTAATTGTCAGCCTATAGGGTGGCTCACATTGGCCCCCCATCTTGCCAGAGCCGTATGTAAGTCCTTAAGTCCTTCTCCGAGCAGTTCAGGGCTTACTGTGGGGTGTACCCCTGTGCTGTTTTTTTTTGTTTGGACCTTGGGTACTCGACATACAGAGAGGTCTCCCCGTAGATGTCTTCGGTTGCTGGGGACAGGCTAAGGCTTCCCTAAAAAGGTGGTGACTACATGTGTGATGGCAACATGTTGGGGTTTAGGGTTTAGGGTTGAGGGTTTAAGGTTTAGGGTTTAAGGTTTGGGGTTTAGGGTTTGGGGTTGAAGGTATAATTGCAGGTCGGATTGAAGTCCGGCATGCGGCATGGCTCCATGGTCTAGATCCTCCTGAGTGTAGAAAGCTTCGGAATGAGGGTGTTATATGCTCAGTGCCTGTTTGGATATGTCGTACTTGCCCGCTTTGCATTCGTATAGAACCCTCGTTAGGCATCGTCATTGGTGATGGTGGAAAGGTATGCCGACGTCAACGTAGAGTGCGACAGCGGTTTGTTTGCCCCATAATTCAATCCGAACCCCAAGCCTCCAAAGCCCCTAGCCCCAAACCCTAAACCCTAACCCCCTAACCCAAAAACCCTAAACCTAAACCCTAACTTGAACCCTAAACCCCTAACCCTAAACCCTAAACCCTAAACCCTAAACCCTAAACCCTATAGAGAGACACCTGTCAGGCTCCGGACGCATCACTTCCAGCGGGAGAGGCCCCGACAAGGGCTGCGGCTCTAAAGTTTCTGAGAGCAGGACGAAAGAGCAGAGCCTCGGGAAGCAAGAAACAAACCCTCAGCCCTAAACCCTAAACCCTAAACCCTAAACCCTAAACCCTAAACCCTAAACCCTAAACCCTAAACCCTAAACCCTACACCCACTAAACCATGTTAGGGGCTTAGGCGGGGCTCGGACTTTACGGGTTGTCGGGGCTTAGGGTTTCGGGCCAAGGCCTCCTTGACCACCTATGTGTGCCACCTACACTTGCAAGAGTTGGGGTTTAGGGTTTTGGGTTTAGGGTTTTGGGTTTAGGGTGTAGGGTTTAGGGCCAAACGTATGCTAGCCCCTAAATCACCCGCATGCAGCCAGCGTCCTGAATCTCCAACCTCGCCGAACCCTAACCCCAACCCCAAACCCCAAACCCGAAACTCTTATGGAATATAGCTTTAAAGGGATGGCGGGAGCTTATGGGGAGTCGTAGCTGGCCCTAAGCCCTAGAACCCTAAAACCCGTTAGGCCCTAAACCCGAAAACCGGGCGTTTCGTGACTCGTCGGGTGACAAAAGGGATGACTCCAAGCTAGGGGGAGGGGGGGGGGGGGGGGTAGGGTTTAGGGTTTAGGGTTTTGGGATTTGGGATTTGGGATTTAGGGCTTAGGGCTTAGGGCTTAGGGCTTAGGGCTTAGGCTTAGGGCCTTGGTAGCGTAGTGATGGAGCGAAATGTGGTTGGGTTGATTGTTGCTCTCGGTTGGGCTCTCTGTGCCCTTAGCTGTAGCTGTCGCATAAGCGCTAAACCCGGCAACCTTTACGCTGGAGCTGTGAACCCAGGCAGTGAATGCCCACAGCCCTCAACCAAAAAACCCGAACCCTAACCTGAACAATCACCCGCCTATCAGCTGGCATTCAGTCTGGCCAGGTCCTGGCTGGGCGCAAACGTCGCTATGGAACGGTGCGGCGCTCAGGAGAGTCCGGGTTGGGTTTTAGGACCCTAAACCCGATTTATAGGGATTTCGGGCTTAGGGTTTAGGGTATACCCTAAACCCTGAGCCCTACTAAACCGAAGGTGTGAGGGAATTGGGGGAGGCTTAAGCTGCCAGGGGGCCCCGACCCCGTGTCACCAGGAACCTCCGCTCAAAACAGCCCCAATGCCCCAACTATCAAGAAAAGTGTAGGTCCTCTTCTGCGTTACATGGGGGGGGGGGGGGGGGGAGGGGTGGAACCTCAAAGACGGCACCAAAAGAACCCTGAACCCGTGACTGAGAATCTGTATGTTCCCATGAGTTCCTAACAAGTATGGGCTTTGGATATGCAAAGGCCTTGCAAGCGGACACTGCACCCCGAGCCTGAAACAGGGCTTTTAGGGTTCGTGTCGGATGTTTTGGCTTCGGATCCTAGGCTACCCAGTTTCCAGGTTTAAGGGTTTTGTAGGGCTTAGGGGAGTTTAATTGCCGAGTCCTTCGGCTTTAGGCTGTAGGCTTTAGGCTTTAGGCTTTAGGCTTTAGGCTTTAGGGTTTAGGGTTTAGGGTTTAGGTTTAGGGTTTAGGGGTTAGGGTTTAGGGTTAAGGGTTTACGGTTTAGGGTTTAGGGTTTAGGGCTGCGGTAGCCTGCACCGCAACCCCAATAGTCTCAGACCGATGGAGGCGCTCCGTGCTTGCTAAGCCAAGACACATCCGGCTGTCCGAGCTCCTGATTCGGGTTTAGGGTTTAGGGTTTCGGGGTTAAGGTTCAGGGTTTAGGGTTTAATTAAGGTTCAGGGTTTAGGGTTTCGGGTTTAAGGTTCAGGGTTTAGGGTTCAGGGTTCAGGGTTCAGGTTTCAGGGTTCAGGGTTGTTTAGGGTTTAGGGCTGAACCGGTAGCCAACGCTGTGGGAAGCTAAAGGTGACGACCGTGCACGAAGTGGCTATAGGGTGTAGTGTTTTGGGGTCAGGTCTTCAGGGTGTAGGGGGCTCGAAGGTTGTTTGTCATTCTCTGCGCTTTGGAGTTATATATCGGGTCTACCTAAGGAGGGGCCCCCTTAACATACCAACTATGGTTAAGGAAGGGACTTATAACCTGATTTAGGATCCTCATAACCCAAGATAGGGTCCTCAGAACTCTACTTCTAACTAAGGGTGGCCCCCTCCCCTTGTAGGTGTAGGGCTTAGGGCTTAGGGGGGGGGCGCCCTCAGGCGCAGAAGGAGGAGCCAGCTATGCCAACTGTGCAGGAGGATCCTGGCCGCAATCCAGTTGCGGGTGTGTCGGAGCTCTTTGAACCCTAAGCCCTAAACCCTAAACCCGAAACCCTAAACCCTAAGCCCTAAACCCTAAACCCTAAACCCTATACAAGGAGGGGCCCCCCCCCTAGTTAAAAGTAGACTTATAAGGACCCCAAAATGGGTTCAAAGGATCCTCATTTCGG